AATATAATGCGCTGGTGAGTGCCTTCTTTTTTTCTCACAGCATCGACAGTTTGGATTTTAAAGGAAATCAGTTGAAGTCAAACATTATTATTCATGAAGTCGGTTATCATTTTACCTCTGTCAATCCAAAAAGGAACAATATCTTTGAAATTGTTATCATTAAAATCAGGAATACTCAACCAGACCTTTAAAACTGGATTTGAATTGAACATGCAGCTACGCCCACATCGACTTAGACTCATTATTTTCATTGACAGGTTTGATACTAGAGGAGCTTTTCTCTTCTTATCTGGTGGATGCGAACATAACTGACTTTTCAGGTGGAGAGGGCTGTTGCTCTTTATGCCTATAATCTTTTCCAGGCAGTGCTACACGCAAAGAGTGCTAATAATAAAACACTGACTCTTCTCTTTATCTGCATTTCTATTGTTTTTCCATTGAACTTTTACCCCAAATGACTTTTTTTCCCCACAACCTGTCGTATTTTGTTGCATTTATATGAAAGCCTATGATACAGTTAGCGTTAGATTCGGTGCATTAACAGAACTGTACTGCTTTTCTCAATCCCACACTCCTGTAGAGTTGTTGACTTGGAAACAGAAAAACCAAAATAACATGGAAGGTAGAGAAGTCAACTTCTCAATATGCTTGTAAATCTGTTTACCCTTGGAAATATGTGCTACTGGTTACATTTACAGAGGAATGGACTGGTATGTAGGTGTGAGGATGTTATTATAATATTCAGTAAAATTACAATGCTTAATCATATTTGTCATTCTGCTCTTTATAGAGTGATATCAGTATAACAACCTGATGTTTGCATAATCATTGTGGTTACACGCTCAAACTTTTAGGCTTTAAGCTTGACAGACATGTGGCTCTTAGCTTGTTGCTAACTGTAGTTAAACACTAATGTTATTTAGATAAGTGAGGTAAGCAGCAGTAATAGCTGTCACACTATGACTGAAAGATAAAAAAAAACTGCAGAATTTGACTTTCTTGCAACCAAATAGAAAGTGTAAAAACATTCTTCCAGATATCCGACTAACAGTACTCAGTAAAGGATTTAGAGCTATTATCTTTCACCTTTATTGTATGTTCAGAGGAAACCAAAGCAGAAGTGACAAATAAAACCCAATGGATGTAGATTTTATCCCCCAACAGTATCGAATTATGGCTAATACTGAATCCATCTATCGATATTAATCAATAACTTCTCCCATTTCTAGAGTAAGGATCTCCCTATGCTGCAGGCACGTGCAGAGGGGGGGGGCTAAGGGGGCTTGAGCACCTGCCCCTTTTGCTCCATGATCCCAATGTGCCCTTTTGGTCCCTTTTTTTTTTTTTTTTTTTTTTTTTTTGACACATGTACTGAAATTATTATCTTTTTTTTTGGCAAGAAAAACAATACAATAAGCCCTCCGGTCACATTGTTACCTTTGACCTTTTGCCGGTGACGACGCACTTGCCTCTCGCACAGTCAGATAAGGCGGCTAACTGCGGAGCTAAAGGTAGCGAATATTCCACATTACACTGTGGCCGCTGCTCATTTGGCCCTAAGCAAGATCAACCATGATCGGACGGATGGCTATGTCTTCAGTCTGCACCGCCTCTCCAATGTCAACCTGAATAGAGATGTAAGTGAAACCAAATAAGCCCCATGGATGATGCAGTATTGTTTGATCTAAAACACTGTTTACTCTGGGCTTTTAGTCTTTTACATTGAAAATTATGTTTTTTAATTCACAAAAAACTGTTCTGTCATGATTACAGAACAGTTTTTTTGTTAATTAAAAAACATAATTTTTGGTGAAAATACTAGAGTAGGCTTCCTACTTGTCAGACAACGGAAAACTTTGAACGTTGTATAATTTCTCTACTTTAGCAAAGAGTAGCGGTTTAAACGGAGGAAAGTATTTCTTTCTCTGAAGAACTACTGAGCGGGAGGAGACAGCCAGGTGAGGAAAAGCTGTTCTTATCTATCGATTCAGTATTTTTATCATACAGACATTAGGCTGTTGTTCTTGTGCTATGAGCTAGCTGCTAGCTAATGACTTTCATCTCCATAATGGATATATGTCTGATTTTCTAATTTCCTTTGCTGCATGATGTACATTTCATTTATTCTAGCGTTAGGTAAATGTATCTTGAAGGAGAACTCATCCAGAACTACCATGATAAATATATGATAGATATAATGTATGAAGCTGGTGAAAACAATACTGCGCAGCTTATGCAAGGAGGATCGGTTTTCAGACCTTCTTTTGTTGGCAATCGAGAAGGATGTGCCAATCATTCACAGTGAGGTTATTAACATTTTTAAAGACATGGCTAACAGAAAACTGCTGCTGTGAACAAAAGAGAACAAAAATAGCAAAAATGCTTAAAAGTTGGAAATTTGTTTTTAAACAGTTAAATCACCATGACGGAAAATAAGTTTTTGGATCATAATCTTGGATTTAGTTTGGGGGAAAAAGAAAGGCAAGAGACTGAAATAAATAAGACATTGACCTTCACTCAACACAGAAAAGATGAGACAATGAGGAAAAAAAGAAAAGAGAAACTGACAAGAAAAAACTAAGAGGAAAGATTGAAGAAAATGTATATAGGTACTTACATAATACACTAAGACACAAACAGAGTAGGCTTTTCTCATGGTGACATGCATTAATAAAATGTTTGTTTTGTTCTTTTTTTTTTCTGCAGTTCCACGTTAAAGTTTGATGCAGCAGCTCTGCTTTTCAGAATGGACCGTCTCCATCTCCACTGTCAGTACAGCAAACCAGGCAGACATTCTTTTTTATAGATTACAGTACACTAAAAGGTTGCATTGTGCCCTTGTATGCATTTTTAACAGTTTAATTCTGTAAAGACAAAATATGTCTGGTGGTCCAGCTCTAATTTACATCGTTGGCTAAATTGCAGGTTTGAATATTGTAATACTTTCCTATAACAAAATAGACCTGCAGAAAGAAATTACTAATAAAATATTTTACATATGCATAGTTCTATGTTCTATGTAGAGATTTCCCTTAGCTTTGATTGTATGTCTCACAATTTTGTAATTTATCATTGTTCATTAAACTCTGAAAGCTATGTGACTTTGTTAATATTCTGTCCTAAAATGCGAAAATGCGTTTTTTTTTTTTTAGCACCTGCCCCTTTAGTGGTCTCTGCACGGCCCTGCTATGCTGTACTGTATTCCGAAAAAGTTCAAAAAAACAATCCACTGGACTTATTTTGAAGAAATTTTGCTTCCCATCCAGGAAGCTTTTTCAGTTCAAAATGTCAGAATCAGGGTTGAGTTCAAAGTTTTATATAGTAGGGAAGCGAAATTGGAATGACTGAAATTCTTTGGAATGACTATGACCTGGATGACTGGGAATCTTCACCTCCCTCTGCTGTAGTTTGCAGTAGAACCGAGAGAAGATTAAACTTTAAGTATAATATTTTTTCATAATTGCATATTGTTGCACCATGAAGGTTCCCCTGCAGGAATCAAACCCTTTCTTTGCCATTTTCATGGAACCAGTTAACACAGGGCCTTTTTAATAAACGGGGAAAGCAGTAAATGTGGAGCTAAACTGTCTCTAGAAATGTCAGAAAAAGGAGGTGGTCTTTATTTTCTAAGTAATGTTTAAGAGAACTATAAAATGTGTCATAATTAAGAACAATCCATCCATATAACATTATATTTTTGTGATATATCTGATCAGGGATGGGCAACTCCAGCCCTCAAGGTCCAGGGTTCTAACATTTTCTGATGGCTCCCGCTCCAACTACCCGAAAAACTACCCAAACTCCTGGGACCTTTTTGCTGATCAAATAAATCAACCATTTGATTCAGGTGTGTCGGGCCAAGAACACATCTTAAAGTTGCAGCAGACGGACCTAGAAGGACTGGATTGCCTATATCTTCCCCAATTTATGACTGGTGACACTAATCAAATTTTTTCAGAACCTTTTGAACCATGGAACAAATTATGACGACACATTAACAATAATTAAAATATTTCACAAACAATTTTAACCAGCTGTAAATTAAAAAAAGACACACAAAACACTCTAAACATTCATATGAGTGAGGGCGTTAATATAATATGTTGTCATCAATTATTCCTGCTGCACAGAACAAAGGCTCCACAAAATGACAACAAAGGAGCCGAGAGGTCACTCATTCCTTGAGTGGGAACACGTTTTGGCAGCTAGGTTTTGTTTCATATCTTTATGTTCTTGATTTTATTCCCTTAGTGATTATAAAACATTTTGATGATGTAAAGTAATCCCACAAAAGTAGCCACAGATGTAAAACTGACTTTATAACTCTGTGACAAGTTGCAATGAATTGCACTGTAGGAGCCTGTGGCAAGAAAATGCACAAGCTAAAGATGTTGTAATGTGAAGCATAGCAGGGGAACTTGACAGGCGTCACTGTGCAAATGAAAGTGATCTGTTGTGAGGCTATCAGAGTGAAAGTGACAGAGGCAGACACACAGGAGCTCACACATGCCCACAGCAAACAGATACGATCCGTCAGATAGAGCAGGCTGACAGCAGATCCTCTGGTGGACTGAGCAGTGTCGTTGAACTGGGAGGAAGGTATGGTAGAGGTATTGGAAAAGAACCGGAGCACAGAGGTGACACTGTGATCAAAGTCTGAACACAATGCAGGCTCCCAATATGCCAGAGCTTAACAAGGAAAACAACTCAGAGTACGCCCACACTGAAAGTACATTATTGGTAACAGAAAATGCTTCTCCCTCCCACACGGTGGGCTTTGTACACAAGATCTAAATGCATGATCTGCCTCTTCCTCATGCTGCCTCTCCTTTTTCCTCCAACCACTCTTTGACTGCACAGACCAGCTAAACAGCTAACAGGAGTAAAAAGTCACAGTAAGAGATGAAAAGATAAAGAAATAACTAACTCTATTTTAGACACTTCTCAAAAAACTCATTCATACTTAGTGATGGAAGAAAAAAGTGACAATAAAAACTTACCCAGAAAAGGAGGTTGAAGAAGACCATTCCATAGCGCAGGGCCATCATGCAACCCTCAGCCATCCTGCAGCGCCGCAGTTCTAGAAGGAATATGAAGGAGAGGTCCAGGTAAAACACCACATACTTCTTTCCCTGGGCGTAGCGCCCGCTGGAGTTCTTTGGCCCCTTTGTTGTGTGAAAGCCGAAAGCAAAAGGAGGTCTCTTATACTCAAACTCCCCACTGAATCGGTGAAAACCAGAAGTGAATGGTGGAGTGTCAGGTTTGCTGTCCAGAGATGGACTACGTCGGTACGGGGTTTCATCTGTGCTTGAGCGTCTCATTGTGGGAGTTTATTCAGCCTTTGAAAGTGGTTAATATTCACTCTGTGTGCTTCAGCTTTGAGGTTAGTCCACAATAATATACCAGGAGTCACTCCCCCGAGAGCAGAGCAATAGACTTTGAGATAATGATGACCCTCTGACAACCACTGGAGCTGCTGGTTCAATTATTCCATAAAATGGTCCCACTACCTAAACTGACCTTGTCTTCAAACCTTTAGAGTCATTACATTCAGCAGCAAACCTGGCACACACTGGGGACACCACCTGTAAAATCTGCAACTCTCTGGTTCCCCTAGCGTAATCCCTCAAACACAGGTGACGTGTGCTGTGAGATAAGCCGGTCTGCAGTTTCATCTCATAATGCTTCAATCAGGGGAATGACCAAAGAGCTTAACGCATCCCTGTCTGCGTGGAGCAGCCAAAATGATCCAGAAATGTCCTACCTGATCTCATGAGAAGTTCCAGAACAGGTGCTCATATCCAGCAACTAATGACACCTCTACAGTGGCTATATTAACTTCTTACACTCAGTAGCTGATGAGATGGCTGAGAATGCAACACAGCGCTCTGATCCTAGGTGCATGTGAGTGTTCAGCATGTGAATGTGGCTGATGAGGTGCTTTTGCTGACATGCAAAAAGGAAGATTTAATAAAACACAAGGAGATGAGAGTTGAGGATGCCCCTATAGATGTAAGAGGAAGGTTGGTAGGAGGGATGAAAAGGTGAAGGACGCTTGAGACTGGACCATTCTATGGCTTCCTAAAGTGCTATCCCTGTGGAGTTACTGCCTTGCCTAATTTCCTCCTCGCTTCACGCGTCAACCCAAACTTGTCCCTTTTTGTTTCTGTGAAGTGCCCAGAGGTTACTCTGCGCCTCTTCCCAGCCTATTCTCCACACGTATAGAAGTCACCTCTTCAACTCAGTTATTCTATCAAGCGTGCCCCTCTCTGCGCTCCCCCTCTGCGCTGACGGCGGGTAATTAATTTCCAGACTCTCATCAGAGAGGCAAAGTGTGTGGTGTCGACTCCTCTTGTTTCCCCCTCCTCCGCTACAGCTTGTTTCTCCTCTTCTCTAGGTGGGTAAGGAGATCAAGGTGTCCATCAGGGTCATAGCAACGCAGCCATAGAAGAATGAGTAAGAAGGAGAGTTAGGCAGCCAGAAGGGGAACACTGTTTCCTCAGAGAAGCAAAAGAAAGACTGCAGTGTTTCAGTGGTGGTCCAGAATCGCTCCCAGAAGCTCCCTCCCTCTTTCTCTCTCTCTCTTTCGATCTGCCCCCCTCCCGCTTTCCTTCTCTTTCCTCCTTTCTCTCACAAGCTCCGATACTCTCCCCACCACCGCACCAACTGGCTCAAACACTCCATCCCTCCTCAGTCATTGTGCCCGAAACCTGCCTGTGCGAAAGGCAGGCATTCAAATTCTAGCCACACCCCAGGAAACCTAACAACCAATCAAGGTCTTGCATCTCCCATCTTCTCTCCCGAGCATGCCACCAGATAGCACTTTGAACACACAAATTCAGGCGTGCACACACACATACACAGAGAATGGTGTTGTTTTAACATAGCAGAGCTGAGCAGCAGTCTGCAGTCGTATCAGTCTTTCGTCTTCCTCCTGCTGTCCTCACTGCCTCTCATTCCACATGCAGAGGTTGTTCCTACTCACTAACCAGATTGCTCTCTGTAAGCTTGGATTCAGGCATGCCCCCCACCCCCCAACACCAACTCCCTCCAGACCTGGACGCGGGTCACCTAATATCGGTGTAATATTGGTGAATCTGCTCTCATCACAGATTTTTACACCACAGAACAGCTCACCTGAACCCTGACTCTGTAGAAGCATAGAGAACAACTCACATTGCTGCTGACATTCACACAAAAAATGCTGCACACTCCCTCCTCTAGCCATTTGGGTCACTGGTTTTATGAGTCCACAAGCAGATATCAAATCTGCAGAGTGCCGACTATATTAATGGCTGCATCAAGTATTTAATGGATCTCTGCTTTGTCTACTGAGTGTACTCAACAGCGTGCGGTGTCAGACTGTAAAAGAAGCAGCACTCTGAGATAGAGTCTGACTTTTTGACATATTGTAAAGAGCATGCATGCCCATTGATTAACATAGTGAAAACTGCAGGGCATCAGGAAATTTTTTTCAAAGTTAATAAATGTGAGTATTTCTTTACTAATGGAGAAAAACACTGAAAAATGAACCTGCTGTTGCAGATAGCTTGGTACAAAATCATTGATTATTTTTCACAACTTATAAAAACATATCCTGTAGTTATTTATCAAAGGTGATAAGTTACACTAGTGTGAAAAACTTTGCTTAGAGTACATAAAGTTGGAGGACACTGCTGCTACATATGGCTTCCTTTATTCAAGGAAGTTACATTTTAGAAATTAACATTCATAATAATAGAAACAGCCCACAGACTTTTCTAAATGCATATTTTTTATATCTGAAATGGTTCTAAGGCAGTAGGTGTGCCAACTGACAAACTGACCTGGATGAGCAGATAAAATAATTAGTTTGGTGGCTAAGAATATGAATACAGAAAAAAACAGACAAATCAATAATGAAAATATATCTACTCTAGTTTATCTATTCCAAGAGGGAATAATCAAAAACACAGCCTGAAGATATATTTGAGGGCAACATTCAAGTCCACAAATTTGTTTGTTTCAGTTAATTCCCCTGAACCTGAATAATATAATATCAGCATTCTGTTTGAGCTCTTATTCTATGAGCTGCATTGTTGTGAAACCAGTATGAAGATGGTTTTCAATAGTTTTAACCTGAAATACAAGCTTTAATTGTTCCACCGAGGGAAGGACACAATAACCTCCTTTCCCAGCCATCCCTTTATTGCTTTTGGTGGAGCCAAGAAACGGGAGACAGCAAGCTTTGTTTAACCTGTTATCAATCACCCAGATTAACCTCTTTCTTAAACTCTAAATCTCAAGAGAGACTGAGACATCCCTTCCTTTTAAAAAGCCATTGTCCCATTAAACCAATGTGCACTTAACACAGGACCTTATACGCAACATGGAGCCTCCATCTTTGACTCCCAAAGTTAGGAATCAACAAGTAGGTCCAAAGGTCCTTACAGAAATTAAACTAATTAAAAAGGTAAAACATATTTATGTGGCAGTCTTTAAAGATCTATAAAAAAAAGCTGAGAACTAAACAAAAACAAATGCATTGGTTGTCACTGCTGTTGGTATTATTATTGTAACAACGGTTGATTGAATGTTGTAGAAATACTTGTAGATTCAACTTATAGTTTACTGTAGGTCCTGAGTAGAACCATTCTGGTGGTATTAGTGGGCGAGAAACTGAAAGGTATGAAAACTTCTGGGCTACATCTTCCAGTCATAAATCGTAACCTTTTACAAAATCACATCAACCACTAAGCATCAGTAGCTATTAAAGAAATACCTGTCCTTTATTTTTTATGAGTTGATTTTTTTTTTTTTCTCTATTTTTTTTCTTTTTTTTTTTCTATGAGTTGATTATGAGTTATGAGTTGATTTCTAACACAATTTTGAAAACAATTAACAAGACATTGCAAGTAAAAATTGAATAAATGGAATCACTCACAATGGTGCTCATTATGTTAAGCATTTTTCTTACATGTTTTTACGACTTTTGATCAAATATTGTGCGTGCACTGATATTCCGCTGGTTTAAAAGCTTGAAATCATATTAATTAAGCAACACCCTATCAGTTCTATCCATACAAATACAGGCCAACAGACATTTAAGATCAATAAATTAATTTAATCTAATTAACCGCTATCTTTAGACACATAATGCTTGCTAATAAAAACACTAATGTGCACTACTGACTAAATCGGACTGTGTTTTCATAAAATGTTCTTGCATCTGTTTATTTACCTTGTTAATTAACTGCTGTTTGAAAATCTTATCACATTAATATCAACCCCGCCCCCCCGTCCCCCCCCGTCAACCCCCACCACTCCACCCCAACCTCACTAAAAAAGCTAATTCATTATATTGAATTAACAGACTGTGAATAAAATATGCTATGGCTGTGTTTGTAAGTTAGATTTTACTTTCTACTTTTTGTAGCGACATGGCAGAACATTGTGATGTTTCTGCCAGTATTACAGTTACTGGTTAAATTTAAAGCCTGCTGGAGAAATCTTTTAAGAAATGGCGCTTTCACTGTTGTAGCTTCTGGGCAATTATGTAAAAACACACTGTTGTGCAGAGGATCTCAAAAAGATAGTAAAACTGTACAATCTAGTTGATGATTATCACTCAAACAGCTTTCAAATGCCTATGTGTAAAAATCTATCAAATTGTACATTTAATCTCAATATTTACCCAAAGTCTGTGCATATTTACCGGTATAGTAAATTTCAAACATACACTTGATGGCTGCAGCGGAATAATTAGTTATGCAGATTACATAGTTTAAAAAAACGATATATTCTCACTACATTGACACGTTTAACTAAAAAACGTTAATCAAAGTCCAGTTTAAATGGTCGATAGGTCTCAAAACCATTTCAAGAAAAATTGTATCTTGTAGACAGACAAAGCTCATTTGGGTGCTAAATATCGACAAGTCCGGTCTAGTGTGCAAATTAAGAGCCGTTCCAAGAGTACAATAAATAAAATGTTTAGAGAATTGGACTTAGACTAAGACTTCCTTTATTGTCATTGCTCAAAAAAACACAAGGTGAATCTTGACAATGAAATGTCGATTACTTGGCTACCAGTGTAACAGAGGTAAGACTTATTCCTGCACAATAAATGTTTTCTATAACTAAAAGCTAAGAGCTAGCTATATAAGGGTAAAGAAGTATATATATATATATATACATATATATCACACTGAGTTATTGCAAGAAGTAACATCAATAAATATTACACTGTGTTATTGCTAAAAGAAACATTAAATTGAAGATAAAACTAAACTAAGGTGCGTATATTGTCCATGTCCATGGGGATTGGTTTAAAAGAGTAAAAAAAGACTAAACATTATATATGTTCGATAAATAAAAAAAAAACTAAGATGCCTTTATAAACAATAGATCTCTACACTCACCAGCCACTTTATTAGGTACACCTATCCAACTGCTCGTTAACACTTCATTTCTAAGCAGCCAATCACATGGCGGCAACTCAGCGCATTTAGGCATGTAGACATGGTCAAGACAATCTCCTGCAGTTCAAACCGAGCATCAGTATGGGGAAGAAAGGTGATTTGAGTGACTTTGAACGTGGCATGATTGTTGGTGCCAGAAGGGCTGGTCTGAGTATTTCAGAAACTGCTGATCTACTGGGATTTTCACGCACAACCATCTCTAGGGTTTACAGAGAATGGTCCAAAAAAGAAAAAACATCCAGTGAGCGGCAGTTCTGTGGGCGGAAATGCCTTGTTGATGCCAGAGGTCAGAGGAGAATGGCCAGACTGGTTCGAGCTGATAGAAGGGCAACAGTGACTCAAATAACCACCCGTTACAACCAAGGTGGGCAGAAGAGCATCTCTGAACGCACAGTACGTTGAACTTTGAGGCAGATGGGCTACAGCAGAAGAAGACCACACTGGGTGCCACTCCTTTCAGCTAAGAACAGGAAACTGAGGCTACAATTTGCACAAGCTCATCGAAATTGGACAATAGAAGATTGGAAAAACGTTGCCTGGTCTGATGAGTCTCGATTTCTGCTGCGACATTCGGATGGTAGGATCAGAATTTGGCGTTTACAACATGAAAGCATGGATCCATCCTGCCTTGTATCAACTGTTTAGGCTGGTGGTGGTGGTGTCATGGTGTGGGGAATATTTTCTTGGCACTCTTTGGGCCACTTGGTACCAATTGAGCATCGTTGCAACGCCATCGCTGCTGACCATTTCCATCCCTTTATGACCACAATGTACCCAACTTCTGATGGCTACTTTCAGCAGGATAATGCGCCATGTCATAAAGCTGGAATCATCTCAGACTGGTTTCTTGAACATGACAATGAGTTCACTGTACTCAAATGGCCTCCACAGTCACCAGATCTCAATCCGATAGAGCATCTTTGGGATGTGGTGGAACGGGAGATTCGCATCATGGATGTGCAGCCGACAAATCTGCGGCAACTGTGTGATGCCATCATGTCAATATGGACCAAACTTCCTGAGGAGTGCTTCCAGCGCCTTGTTGATTCTATGCCACGAAGAATTGAGGCACTTCTGAAGGCAAAAGGGGGTCCAACCCGTTACTAGCATGGGGTACCTAATAAAGTGGCCGGTGAGTGTAGTTTTAACCATTCAAGCAAAATGGTATCCGACTTATTATTTATATAATTATTTATCTTAATTAGCTCAAAAACTATATTTTTAAGTCTATTAACAATTGA